GTACTAGTAGTACCAGTAGTACCAGTAGTATACTAGTAGTATACTCGTAGTACTAGGACTAGTACCAGTACAAGTACACACAGACATATATATATATATATACATGCATACATATATATATATACACACACATGTATACGTATTATGCGTAGTTTTTTGACGTCCAGTTCTCTCCTGCACCAGGCGTGCTCTGACTGTCCTGAGCATGCTGACTGCACTGACATGGTGGGGCAGGTCCACTTCCAAGGCCACCGGTGTGTGCTTGAAGGAAGCGATGAACCCCCGACGTGCCAACCCGTAGTAGTAGTGTTGCGGATTCGATCGTAGAAGAGGTGCTGAAAGCTGCCCCGGTGGAGTCCTCTGAATCCAACGACTGGGAACCTGAAATATCCGCACCAGCTCCTCAGCGGCATTTCGAGGTGCGGATAGTATGCTTGACGCAGCATAGGTGTTTTGGACACTGGACTGATAGGGGCTCGAGCGGAGGGCATGGTTGCATGTGCGTCGGCATTACTCGCTTCCGGCAGCGACTGTGGTTCTGCAAAAATTAAGGTTGCAGTGCACAGTGTTCAAGTCCCCGTTCAAGTCCAAGAGACTCCCGCGCAGAAAGTCGCAGAGATGAACCAAGTGGCCGAAGTGACGAATGTCGACACGACACCAGTGGCTGCAGTTGCGAGTGAAGAGGTGCTCACAGACCCCGTAGTACCAGGAATGGCAAAGGCAAACTTGGTAGTGAATGTGGAGACAGTTCCGGGAAAAGCACAGACTCCGCATGCAGATGCCAAGATGCAACAATCGGACCAACAAGTGCTCGAAAACCTGTGCGGCGACGGCTGGAGCTGCTCGCCAATCGACGCAGAGAAGGGCTTGTTCCAAATCACATTGCCAGCCGTGAGATACGAGCTCCCAATGGGCGTGGTGTCCATTCCTGCACCCCTCTTCCATGCTCAGGTCGGAAGCTTAGCAAATCCGAGCAGGAATAGAATATAAGATAATATAATATAATAGATCATATAGAGACATATCTATATAGTTTAGCGGAGCTCAGAGCCCTTCAGCATGTTCCGTGTCGAACCCAGGGTGCTTTGCTTGCATGACGCGACTGACTGTCTTCTGGGTTCCCAAGGCCCGCGGCTCAGAAGTGCAGTCTGGCGACTACAGCGAAAGATTGGTGGCCGACATCGTGCTTCAGAACGGTGACAAAATGCTCTGTGTTGAGCCACTTGGCAAGCATGCTCCAAAAATGTCTCCTCAGCTGGTGAGCAAGTGTGCCAGTCGACCTGAAGTTGGACTGCTTTGGCATCACTTCAGTAGGATGTTCATAGTAGAGCCATGACAAGTCGAATGAGTGTCTTGGCCCTGGCTTTGATCAGGCTTGGATTTCCCTTCAACAGCAAATTCACCATCTCAGCCGCTGGCCAGGTGCTTGGCTTTTTTTAGAGTTTAAAAAATGGGGGGGCCTCTTGACCCCTTTCGCTGCGACTCTGAGGCTGGGCGCGTTGCCGTGTTGGACAAGAACCCGGCTCGGTGATTTGCAAGGCTGTCGGCGTGTTTTTTCTTGGCAGAAAGGATATTATATTATATTACATTATATTATATTATATTACATTATGTTATATTATATTATACTGTATTATATTATATTATACTATATTATATTATATGAATGTAACCTATAGAAATTGCTCGCCTTGAGGCCCTCAGGACCCTTTACGAGTGATTAATGATGCAGGTGTTCTGACAGACTTTGCTTAGCAACTAAGGCCATGGGGACGATGAGCAGCAGTAGTAGTCTTAGTAAATACTGGTGGTAGTACTGTTAGTCGTGGTGGTGGTGGTGGTGGTGGCGGTGGCATCAGGAGTAGCAGTGGTCGTCATCGTCGTACTGGTAGTAATCAGTGGTAGTGGTAACAGGAGTAGCAGATTAGTAGTAGGAGGAGGCGGAGGAGGAGGAGGGCGAGAGGAGCGATGGTCATGGTTGTGGTCGTTGATGGGCTGATGGTGCTCTTCTGCCGTGGTTGCTGCAAGCGCTTGATTTTCTGAACTGACTATCCACCCTAAACCCCAAACCCTAAACTAAAAACCCCAAAAACCCTAAAAACCCTAAACCCCAGATTGGAACTTCTTGCTTCTGTGTCCCAGGCATCGGTCGAGATGGGCCTCCAAGTTCCAAAGGCGAGAACCCGAGTCGCAAGCTGCCGCCGGTGACGGAGATCATAGAATCTTCCGGAGCCTGTTATATTATATTATAATATAGTATATTCTATTATATTATACTATATGACATTATATTGTCTTATACTATATTATACTATCTTATCTTATATGATATTATATTATATGATATGTTGCGTAAGTTGGAGAAGATGTCTGCGACATTCCCCAATCAGGTCCCGGGATTGACCTCGATCTTGCAGTTCTTCGTGAAGTCCTACGCCAACAAATCCGCAACTTTGCTGCAGACACGGGATATCTGAGAAGACCACACCCGTCTCGTTGGCCGAGGCTCACGATTGCGCCGTAAGCCTGTCAAAGCCACCTGGTCTTTGAGAAGCTCCGAGCTCCGCCCTTGTTCCATGGCTCCTCGTTCCTCGACGGCAAGTCTTCAGGGGCAGCGTCCAAAGTCCGGCAATATTTGCATTCTCCCTTCTACAAGCTGCATTGAAAGTCGATTCGTTTCCGATAGATCTGCAGCGTCCGGCGCGCATGGCAGCAAAATTCTTGGCGAAGTTGGCAGGAGAGCGCCACACCCTCGCAGCTGAGCACACGCCGAGCTGGCAGGGCTGGTTGTTTCGTTTTCATGTTCACTCAATGCTGCTGGCATCAAGGAAAATACATGGAAGTAATGAGAACACAGGGGACATCGCAAGCTTGGGCAGCCCATACTTGCTCGATTATCTGCAGCAGACAGAGACAGCTTGCAGCATGTGACGGTGCGCTGTCATCCAGCCGTGTCAATAACGATTGAACCGTGTCAAGTTCGATAGTGCACAGCCGGCAATGGCAGTCTGCATCGTCTGCATCGTCACGTGCTTCATCGTTTACTAGTTTCGGATGTGAATTCCCCCAGGTTTTCGAATGCGCGAGATCAGGAAACCCACTGCTGAAGGCAGAAAGTTCTTTTTCGGGCGAGTTCGCCCCATCCCCGACTGAGAAAGGTAGCACATGCCTGCCCGTCATGAGATGTGTGTGTCTTGGTTTACAGGGGTGATCCAGAGAACTTTCTGCGCCCACTAGCTTCTTTCCATCTTGCAAAGACATCAGATAGCGATGAGCACGCCTGACACTAGATCTGGAAGGCATGCTCCGCCAGAAGACTGATTGTAGGTGGGTGCCACGATGGTCGCCATCGAATCTTCCCAGCCTCAGCGCATTCTGTTCTGATTGTTCTGTTGCTTTCCAGCTGGCCACTGGAAAGCAAATAGTGGGAGTCATCGCCAAAGACCCCAGTGTTTGAAGCAACGGGCAGCTTGCCGCAAAGCTCTCTTATAAACTGCAAGCATGCTTTCAGCCTTTTCGTTAGCCTTTTCAGCTGGTTGCAAAACGATGCTGCCCTGGCTAAAGAATCGTAGGTCTTCTGACAAGGTCAAGATTTGAAGCATTGCAGGAGGGCTGAAAGCCACGTAGGCCACAGGTGTTGTCTGTGAGGTTCAATGAGCAGAGGTACCATGGCTAGATCGAATTTGGCTGCCGCCTCCACTTCACAGCACTTGGCAACATCAAGTGGATTCGAAGGCTCTGCATCAGCGATAACACCATTGCTGAGTGCAGACATCCTTCCAGAAAAGTCAATGAGTTACTCTAGTGACAGGGTCGGCTGGACATGATGCGCACGTTCCCGCACAACGAAGTGTATTCTAGAATTATCGGCCTGCGCCAAATCACTTTCTGTGAGCATCGCACCAGTTGAAAGTTCTCAGGGGAGCAGATAAGACATCTTGCACGACTGGCGATCACCGATGTCCCGGCTGACAAAACGAAGCCTGCACACCATCGAGACAAGTTTCAGAAGCCATCATGCGTGGCAACACAATTTGTAACTGGACTTCCGGTTCGTCCTGACATGACTCCAAAAGACCTCGTAATGGACACGTTTGCGACATGGTACACGAGGGTACAAGGAAGGTTTGGGGAAAGCGCGAAAGGAGAATCCTACCGCACGAGCATCTTCGAGTCCACAAGCCCAGGCCGAACAGCCTGAGATCAACCCTGCTGGAGATTTGCAGGATGATCCCGTGCCGAGGCCTGTTCACCACGCAAAGCATGCTTCGTATTCGTGTGACGCGGGTGTTGAAGCATGAATTTGTTTCAGTGTTGTCATGCTCTCAAACAAGCTGCGTGGGCGACAGACTCGCCAGCATAAGGAAAGACGAAGAGACTGCAGCGGAGTGCATTCGCAGACGCCTCAGTTCCCGAAGTCACTTTAAAACCGTTGTCCTGTCCTTGTTCTTGTCGGTTGCACTCGAGGTCTTCAGAGCATCCTGGACAGGATGAAGCAGCTCATGCGTGAAGAGTCGGTTCCTTTGAGTCTTGAGTCAAGCGACAAGACAGTCTTTGAGCATGATACAAGTCACACTGAGGAGAGCCGTGTGGAACGAAGAACGGGCACAACTGTTGGAAGTGCCGAAGCTGCAAGCTGAAAGACTGTTCGGGTACTGCTCGTCTCATCACTATCGTTTAACATTCATGTCTGATTGATTTTTTGAGGAGTGTAGCAATCGCGAAGTCTCGGGAGGTTTCGGATACCAATTTACGGGAGTAAGGAAGCAAACAACCACAGCACTCGTAGGAGTACTAGAGTGTCGCTGTCAACATCATCATCGCCATGACATTGCCGAGACTGTGTCGCAGTCGTCGAAAGCCATCTCCTCTGTCGGGGCCATGATAGTCGTCGTCGTCATCCGGGCCAATCAGAGCATAGAACACCAGCACGCAACTAAACTGCCTTCCCTAGTTGCGTTTTCTTCGCATTAAGCAGATGTTCCTCAGGAGTTGTCCGCTACAAGACGCGCCTTGCCCGGCTCCCAGTGAAGCTCTCGCGCTTGGACTCTGCGATCTCTGTGCTTCGGAGGTCGGCTTCCGAGGCAGCTCGCGAAGCAGCAGAGCTGGCTTTGGCTCAAAGCTCCGTCATGAGGGCCTCACTCCCCTCAGCCTCAGCTCCCTCGGCCTCTCTTCAGCCCTCCTTTCAGCCTCCAAGTCGCCACGACTTTGGGAGCCTCGGGAGCCTTCGAAGCGGGCCCGAGAGTGCTGAGATCGCCGTCCTCAAGGACGGAGTGCGTAAGGCCCTGGACGCGATGTCCTTGGAGAGACCCTCTGGGCCCTCTGTGCAAGAATTCAGAGCATATAGCAGGCAAACGCGCCCTGCAGGCCAATGGACCAGAATGCAACTTGAGGACGACGCGAATCGGTTCAAAACGGTACCGCTGGCTGCTGCATGAGATTAGAAGCAATCGCAGCACGAAAGTGAAGCCTGCGAAGCGAAATAGATGCACAAAGCGGAGAGTGCGTAAGTGTCTATGCGTGACTGTCTGTCTGTCTGTCCGTCTGTCTAAGTAAGTGTGTGTGTGTGTGTGCGCGTGCATATCTCTGCATATGTATATGTATGCGCTGTATGGATGATGGTCATATCATCTGATGCAACAGATGTAATAGCGGTATTGACCAACGAAACTTACAGATGGAGGAACAACATTGCAAATGAAGTTGTTCGCTTGCCTGAATGCAACTGTATTTGGGTGTATTGGTTCTTCAGTACATTTTCCATTAAGCTTGAATCAACACGAGCCGCATACATATACAAGTCATTAGATGATTAGCTAGACCGCCTGTCCGTATGTTTGCGGTGCGTGAACGTGCATGAATGTATGTCTATCTGTATATGCAATTGTGCTTGCGTAGTTACTTTTGTATGTATGTTGGTATGTTGGTATGTGTGTACGCATGTCTGTCAGTGTCTGTCACTGTCTGTCTGTATGTACGTATGTACGTGTGTAAGTATGTATGTATGTATGTATGTATGTATGTAGGTATGTATGTAGGTATGTATGTATGTACGTATGTGTGCAAATATGTGTTCATGTATCGATGCATGTGTTTCTGTTCATGCATGCATGGTTGCATGGATGGATGGATGGATGGATGGATGGATATGTACATGTGCTTACACGTGCTCGTGTACCTACCACCTACCTACCTACCTACCTACTTACCTACCCACCCACCCACCGACCGACCTATCTCCAACCTACATCCGTGTATGCATCCATACATACATACATGCATGCATGAAGATGTGCATACCTCTTCTGGCAGTATATGTTTGTGCAGCTCTAAACTATTGCAGCTTCATCAGGTCGTGGCCCAATATCTCACAGGCCCCGACGAATTTTCACGGTGTACCGCCCTGGAACCCCTGAGACCGTCCAGACCATGTTCCCGGCTGACGAAAGGGCAAATGCTGGTAAACGCCACTTTAACGACTGAGCATGAGCAAGTTGCAGCTTATTCGTCAAGTACTGATGTCTGCTGCATCCCCTCCCCAATGACGTCAATCTTCGGGCTCTTGGACAAGCGGCAGCGAGCTGCCCCTTGGTTTACAACAACCTCGCAGAGTGGTCGCCAAAGATGTCCCGGGACAGTTCTGAGAGTTAGTAGCGGTTGAAGTTTTGAAGCCATCTATGTCCGTAGCTTTAGTTTGGAGCTAGACACGAGGCTGACGACGCAGCGCTGGCCAATGATTTGGACTTCTCCTTTGAGGCTGCAGCCTTAAATTCTTGACACTGCACGCCGCGGATCCCACTCTCTGAATCGCAGTAATATAGAGGGCCTTAATAATTAGAATAGTGTTCTGGGGCCCGCCAGTACTAGAATTATAATAAGGAACCCGCAAAACCCTATTCTAATTATTAGGACCCTACATGATGTCCCGACAGAAAATCGCAAGCAATCCATCGGCAACGCCAGGAGCGAGCCGACTTGCTCGCAGACCTCCTCGAGGCGAAAGACTGTGTAAGTACAGCCGACTCGGTTAAGGTTTATAGGGTTTAGGTTTTAGGGTTTAGGGTTAAGGGTCTAGGTTTTAGGGTTTAGGTTTTAGGGTCTAGGTTTTAGGGTTTAGGTTTGAGGTTTTAGGGTTTAGGTTTTAGGGTTTAAGGTTTAGGGTTGAGCCATGGCCCAGTGAAGTCGAACGTCGCAATGCCCACTGGCGAAGTTCCCTGGCAGGACGACAGCTCCGTCCTTCCGCTGTTGGAATGCCCGCCAGAGGCACGAAGAAAGCTTCTCCTAATAATAATAATAATAACAATAATAATAAAAATAATAGTAACAATAATAATCGTAATCGCAATAATAGTAATCATAATAACAATAACAATGGTAATAATAATATATAATATATACTGGGGTGAGAATAAGTCCGCAAGTGTCTGAACACCTGGCGAAACAGAGTCTTGACTCGGCAGTCGCAACCATCCGCGACTCTGCGAACTGCACGGACCGAAAGCTCTCGCATGGTAACGGCAGATACTGGCCATTTCTCCAACTGACAGCATAACTGGCGCATGGAATGTGAGGGAGTGAGGAACACAAGCTTTAAGCCTCTTGTAAGATGCTGGAAGATGTGCGTGTGAATTTCATCTCATCTGCAGGTCCTTTCCTCCGTTCTGCTTCTGTCAGCGCTTTGTCCGCAAGCCGCGGAGAGATTCAGTGAATGGTTTACTTGGTCACGAAGTGCTTGCAGTGAGGAGGGCAGAGGATGTGAGGGCGGCTTGTTTTCATTGTTCAGGCCATTTGCCGTTTTCGGAAAGAGCCAGTGTCAGTGCTCTCAAAAGGCACGTAGCAGCAACCTTAAGTAGCTGGTGGAGGTATGCACCTAGCTCCTTCAGTTTTCCATTCGCTTAAATCAAACGAAAGTGCGATTTCGCCACTGACCCCGCCTGACTCAGGAGGCAGTCACAACGGTTCGGATGAGACCGCTGTGCCGGATGATGCGTGTGGCCGTGGATTCTAGTGAAGGCAGATCATTTCATCTCTTAGCATTCCGTTTCATCGAGCTTGCGAGCCAACATCTACGGAAAAGCATATATATATAATGTATATGTATATATGTACATATGTAGAATATATATATATATATATAAAGAGAGAGAGAGAGAGAGAGAGTGAGCTATAGACACAGATGTAGATACTGACACAGATATATATATATACATACATTCGTACATACGTACATACTTCCGTACTGACATACTTGCATGCATGCATGCATGCATGCATGCATGCAAGCATGCATACATACACACACACACAGAGAACATACGCGTGCACATACATAGATATTAATCATACAAATACAGATGAGGAAGAGAGATGGTCTTTGCCACTTCCTGCAAGGCCTGTGGAGTCTCTTGACCCTGCGAGACTTCGCAGATCTGGGTGGGACCACGAAACATTACCGCGGCCTGCGAACCCTCGCGGAATGGGACGAGTCCAATGCGATGAGGCGAAGCACTTCAATTTCGGATCATCGCTCAGCACCTTATCCGGGTCCTGTACGTGAGGGTCGTGGAAGTCCATTTGCCCAGCGCCGATGCTTGACATGCCTGCACAGAGTATGCTGAGTCCTGCCTCCATAACTCGTACTCCATTTCGCTTGTCCTGCGTCTAGGCGGCTGGAGTGGGATCCGTTGATGATTTGCGCACCGCCGGCATTACGATACAGCCTACTGGCTGCAATGCAGGCCAGTTCTTGCCAGCAGAGTGCACGGCTTGAAGCAGGGGATCTGTGGTTTTCACGACTGTGCACGCTTCTTCTTGCGGAGCAGGTGAGACGTCAGCTTTGGACTCGGCACGGCCCGTCGTTGGGGGCCGGCTGGGACTGGTTCAGTGCCAAGGCCGTTGCACGCAAGTGATTAGTGAAGCAGGCACCCAAGCAAAGTCTTGTGAGCTTTAGCAGGTGTGCCGCCGAATGGCCGTTCCAACCTTCCTGCGCTGGGCATCGCTACAGCACGACGGCAAGGCACTGAAAAAGCCAGGCAGCTAGAGGTCTTGCTGGACACTGGCACCAGGCAGTCATTGATCGTTTTAAGTTGTAATGGCTGCCAGGACTTCAATCATAAAGCCAGCGCTTTCAGTAGTCCTAGTGGCTTTAGTCAGTAGAATGCTGAAAGCCCTAGAAGACCCCTGCAAAATCATCCTACGGGTGCTGTGTTTGTCCATAATTTTGGGTGCGTGTCATGCGTTTCGCTTGTGGGACGTCATTAGTAGTAATTTGGAGGCTCTGCGACTACAATACTAGTAGGACACTTAGAGACGGCGGTTTAGGGGAGCGCTGGGGTTTGAGCGTTTGTAGCGTTTAGGGTTATGACGTCGACTTGTGCAAACATCAGGCATCTCTACAGTAGGTGAAATGCAGGATTTATGTGGGGGGGCGGGGTCGGTAAATGCAGGTCGACATGTGTTCAATATAACTTTGGTTCAAGAAGTTATGCACGCCGTTGAGGATGTTGATAGTCCGAGCAGCCACAACCCAACTTTGTCACAGCTTTCAACTGCAAGGGGAAGTAACATGTTACGATGCAATGATCGTTGAAGCTGTGATAGTTATGAACCTTGCAATGACAGAGCATACCGGAGAGTGGGAAGATTTCCCGTGCACTTCACTCGAAGCTCCTGCATCAGAGTCGATGCACAGTCGCAATGGCAACTAGCGAGAGTTGTCACAGGCGAGCCAAGAATGAAGGTACGGGGGCTGTTGTTCCCGGAAACGGCCGCAAAATGGAGGTGGGGATGGCCTCCAAGTCCTGGGCAGGCTAGCTTTTGCCTCCATTTTTCCTCCATGTTCCTGCCGCCGTTTTCCTTGGAAAAACGGATGAATATTGGAAGAAAAAATGGAGGTCTGAAAAAATAGAGGAAAAAATGGAGGCACAACATGGCGGCCAGGACAGGTCCAAGGCGGAATTGGGGGCAAAATGGAGGTTGCTAGCCGCTCCAAGGCTCATGCCTGTGTCGTCCGCGGCGACTCGCCCAGACGGCCCCAGCCCCGAACCCCAGCTCCGGGCTCTGGATTGCAGCCCTGCAAAGCTGCTAGGGCCAAAACGATCCGAAACGTCACATACAGCAAGGATCCATCGCAGAGCTAATGGACCACGTCGTCAAGGAGCACCTTTCCAGGGCCGAGGGATACCTCTCTGCCTGAGCCTGCTGCAGCGGAAACTCCATGATGCCTATTGCGATCTTGGCAACGACATTTTTGAAAGAAGGGTAGCAACTGTACCACAAATGTAGGAGCGACTGCGCGATGTGTTGTGTTAATCTCAGCCCGTTTTGGCATTCGACCAATTCCAGCATAACCAGTATTGCGGCGCAGCTTCTGTTCACCGCTTGCAACTGATGGCAACATGGTGGTGCAATTCTTAAAACATTTCCTCCATTCTGGTACCTCCATTTTTGGAACCGCTGCCTCCATTCGTGGATTCCGAACCTTTCCAATAATGGACCTCATAAGTTTTGGGTTACGGCATGGGTTTTCGGTCTTAGGGTGTAGGATTCGGGATTGCGGCGACCACATTGACATCGTCATCCCCCACGCCCCATCCCCCCCTCGATTGAAACACAGCAGATATGCTGGACAGTTGTTCAACCCGGCGGCATGGACATGTGGGAATGCATCTGTGTGCGAGTTGTCTATACTCGTCTAGACCATTTCGGTGTTTGTTCAATGTAGGCATTTCATCTGTTGTAGACATTTGTCCCTGCTCCGTGTGTCTAGCCAAGAAGGCAGTGACCTCCATGATTTAAAGCAGATGCCGTGCCAGGCTCTGCAAGCGCTGCTAAGACCTCTCGGCCGGGAGCCGAGTTGGTTTGCAGAGGCGCTTGAGAAGAATTATTACTTCGAGTATGCTTTGTATGATGACCGATATGGGTAACCCGGCTCGGACTCTTGTGGCTGTAAGTCAGAATCACGGCAATCATTAGCAGTGTCGCTCTTTCAGATGAATTCCTTTGCGGTCGCGGCGATTGTCGGCATGACCTGACATGATGTTTTGGTGCTGCAATCGACACAGCCGAAGGGCTTCAAACAATGCAGAGTTTTGTCCATGCGTTTCTGGTCTCGCATCTTGGTAAGTGATCTGACAAGAATCACAGCTTTCTCATGCACTCTTTCAAACAGATCTTGCCGTTCGAGCTGCGGGGCACTTACTGATGTTGCTGGCTCTGACGTGTGCTCCCCTTCCGCTTTTCGTTGCTGCTTGCACCGGAGAAAAGAGACCCTCGAAGCACATCCGAGTTAGCCTTCTAGACGATCTGGGGTCTCAGAGACGCAAAGTCAAGCATCGGTCCATGTTCCCCGACCCTCAGCCTAGGTTGTGTGCGGGGTTGCATCTAGCATTATGTAATTTAGGGAAGAAGAGATTTGTACAGCTTCGTTCAACCACCTTGAGGCCTGTCAACCGGAGATGCGGTGTCCAGCAGCGCCGTCCTTTCAGGGCAGAAGCGAAAGCGAGCAAACGACGCAGATGAAGAAGCAGAGCCGGCCAAGCGGACAGGCCACCAGGGACACAGCACAAGAGAAGGGTGCGATGTAACAGTTCGACTTTTGCTGCCCAACCGTGCGTTGCCTGCCATGCTTGAGGCATGCGTTTCAGATGCGGACGCTCCGATGCGGTCGACCTGAGCGAGGAAGCTGTCAACGACATCTACGAAACTGTTCAAAGATGGCATAGCAAAGAGCACCGGGAGATGATGCGAGCGCACTTTCAGGGCACAGATACTTCCAAGAAGGGCAAGACTCAGCTGCCGCGGGCCAACAGCGGGGTTTTCAGCGTGACTCCCACTCTTGATGCCCACGAGGCAACAGTCTTCGCCTTAAATGAAAGTCAGCCGGAGCCGGACACAACAAAGAAGCCTCAAGCAGAAGGACGTGGCGCCGCATCAATTAACATCGAAGAGGCGCAGCTCAGGCTAGCTGTCGAGCTGTCGAAGAGGGAAGCAGAGCAGCCAGAGAAGGAGAAGGCCCAGGAGACGGAGAAGGATCCCCAATCGAAACAGGCCCAGGCCACACCTGAGGAGATTCAAACGGAAGCCGTGCCAGCAAAGACTCAGGACAGATGCAAACCTCATGTCGGGGCTCAGCAGATTTGCCTTACAGTGCCGTCCCGTTTGCATAGTCGCGCTGCCAGGATGTCGCAGATGTCCGTGCGCCAGAGTTCGAAGGGCTTCCGCTCCGTGGAGAAGGGGGAGTTCCAGCTGCCCAAGTCTTCGTGAAGCCGCACTGCCTGGCGGCCCGAGTCGAGGCTTTGCCAGATGCGCTGGAAAGATCCATTGAAAGCATTGCCCAGGGCCCGGTCAAAGCCGCGACACTGTGTGCTTAAACTAAGACCCGTATTCGCTTATGCAAGGTCCACAAGCTGGTCACGCCAGATTCCTGGGCGCTGCTCTATGAGTCCATCACGGAGGAAGCGCGTGCTGTTGGGATGAAGTGCAACCTTCTCAAATGTTGCTGTTGTGTCTTTATGGGAGCTCCCGGCTTCCCAACCCCAGAACTTCCATCCCAAATCCACAACCTGCCCAGAGCTGACCTGCTACAGTTGTTTTGCGTAAACTTCCTGACGACTACGTACTCCACACCGCCTGGAACCGCGGCCATGCACACCACACCGAGTTGACGCTTGCATCTCATCACGGCACTTGCCGTGAGGAGTGTGCGCGACCATGGTACTATCATGGCCCTACAACAGAAGAGACAGCAGCGACTGATGCCCTTCGGAAAAGCCCATAGCCCAAGCTCAACCCGGGCATGACCCCAGACTCCAGGAGCTTTGCCTAAGGGCTCGATGTGCTGCACATGCCCTTTGCGCGTCGCACACCGGGGCGATGGATCAGCATCACGTCGCAATTGCTGATGCAATCAGTGTCAATCCACAGCGAGCAGAGATACATTCAGGTTGTGGATTGCAAGACATCTTTTGCCGATTTTCGCTTGCACCTTCTTCGGGCTTAGGTTAGAAGATGTGGCGACCGACACAGCCAAGCTCCAGGAGCGAGCACTTGCAGTTTTGAGAAAGAGACACTATTGAATAACTATTGCCTCTGGCTCAGGGCTCTTCCGGCATCTCGCTGGACCAGGAACGCCTCTGTTTGCCCATCTGGCGGCGAAGTTCCGTCATGTCTGGGCTCTCGTGCCTCACGGACGGACCGGACGGAACCGGCGCCGCAGAGAAGCTGCGCCTGAACCGGGCACGGCACGACTTCCTGAAGCACGCCATGCTCGAGTGGTGTGAGCTGGAGGCACCACGCTGGTAGCGGTGAGGTGACAAAAGAGAGACTGTGCTAGAAGGCTGCCTTCTCCTTCCCATGCGCTCCAGAGACTGTGCAGAGGCTGTGCCTTCTCCTTTTTTGCTCTCCTCTCGAGGATCTCACGGAGTTCCTCGATGCGCAGCTGGGCCCCCTGGAGATGGCTATCGACAACTTCCGAGGAAGCCAGGAGGTGAACACGGCGCACACGCCCCACGTCCGGGACATCGGGCGCCTGATGTTTCGGAACCACTGCCTTCTGGACTCGCGGGTCTTCAGGCCGCCCGGTTTTTCAAACCAGGGCCCCTGAGTGAAGAGAGTTTGGGGCTTTTGGGGGAAGCGGAAGGTGGTTCAAGATGACACGTCTGAGCCATCCCGCAAGGCCCTTGTGCTTGGCAGCCTATGCACTGGTCCATGAGGCCCGAGTTTCTATGCCTGTCTGGATGCACAGAGTAGCTCCACCGACCCCACCACTGGCAGATCCATGGTGCCGCCGGGAAGCCGAATGCTTCCGCAGAGAAGAGAGATCCCGACAGTGTGGATGCCCTTGTCGTAACTTGCCTCGATGCCAGACGTCAGGAGAGTACATTCATGTTACTGCTAGCCAGTGTGATGAAGTTCTGAAGTGCTCCGCACACAGATTCCAGGCGATCTCGCTGGCAGTATGTTCGTCAATGTTTCTCCATGTCTGTGAAGTTCTTGTCAAACGAACTTCCCACGTAGTTACGAATCGTATACCAAGCATCAAGCAATCACAGACATGCAGGCATGCTTCCATGTATAGCAGCTTATAATGCTGTCGAGATGTTTGATGTAGACTGACTCATAAGGCCACAGCGGCTGTGAGATAGCTACTGACACAAGTAAGCTAAGGACCTTCTGGAGCACTTTCACGGCATGCTGCTGCTCGGCTGCATGCGATTGGAGGGGCCTCACGCATGCCCATGCCATTTGGCACAATCTTTGATTGTTAGAGCCTCTTGCTTCATGAGGGTGGGTTGCGACGTTGCCGACGACCACTTCTCCTCATCCAAGAACACCAAGGAGTTGTGAGTCCGTTCCTCAATCTCGGCTCAGAATGCTGCTCAAGGAGTCCTACGAGCAGAACTTGGTGTCACCAATTTCTGCTGCCATGGATCGCTTCGGTGACAAGGACGTCATGGCGCCGACGCTATGTCGACACGTTAGCAACTTCGGAAGTTTCGTGGCTCCAAGAGTTCTGCAGGACATCCGGGGCCATCCATCCAGAGACTCAAGCAGAGGCCAACTTGTAAGTCTGCTTTCGGCATAGCACAGCAGTGGAATGCGGTGTTGCACGGTGCAGGCCAGCGCCGCAGCTTGTTGAAGTGCATGTAATTTTCAATGGCACTGAGCCGTGATTCACTTCGCTTCTTGACGGCCGTGGAACACAGTTTCCGTAGGGCGGCCTGTGTTGTCGTGTCAGTTCGCTGGCTGGAATGCCATGCAACTCCTGAATGCGGCTTGCAGACATGTACATACTATGGCGAACATGGAGCTAGGATCCACGATGGCCAGATGTTCCATTGCGACCGATTTTCTTGCAGCCGCGTGCGGTTTGCGTTCTTAAAAGGTGCACCAAACGTTGGGCCATTCGGCTAACACGGAAGGGCGACACCAAGCTGGCGTCGTGCTGGTTTGCTCCACGCCTCCGAGATTCCCCAAGCGCTGACGTAAATTATGGGGCCCTCACGTTGAAGGTGGAGGGATTTGAAAGTTGATGACGCCCGCACCCCGCATGGTGCATGCAACGGCAGTCGCAAGAACGCGGCGTGAGGCATACTTCCATAAGTATATTCTCGCTACAATGTTTTGATTCGAAATTGCTTTAGACTGTATTTGTAGTACACGATATTAGAACTCTTGATTTTTCTATTCATGATCTCATGACATATATATATATATGCACACATATATATATATATACACATACCTCTATTCTCTAATAAAACGGTGTCGTGCGGTCGCCTCGTGGTATTAAAATTTCGGAACTTTGGCAGCTTTAGGGGAACAAGCTCCCAGTAATAAAAATTCCGCAATTTTAGGTAGGCATGCTCGTGGTCATACAATGTCCGAAATTTTTGGGACATGCTCGCGGCAATAAAATTTTCGCAAATTTAGTACCGGGAGCATGTCCCAAAAAAGAGGCTTTGAAGACCGATTTCAGGGCCTCTCGAAAAGCACGCAAGAGGCCTGCAAGAGGACACGCATCAGGATTTGAGTGCCGAAATTCCAGTGCCGCAAAGCAGACACGCGAGACACTTTCAACAGGAAGCGCGTCAGGATCTTGGTAGCGTTCTCACTCGAACACGTCCCCTATATTCTCTCCTTATCAACATGCGTCCAAACCTTATTGGATTAGAAGCACATGTTGTGGATCTTGGTAGCGTTCTCACTCAAACATTTTGTTTCTATACTCTATCCTTATCAAAACGCATCCAATTGGATTAGAAGCACGTGTTATGTCGTGCCGCAGTTTTCCAGCTCCGGTTTCATCGTTGCAAGCACGATTATCCTGCTGTTTTCAGATATTCCTATTTTTGTCTTTACCAACATACGTCCAAACCTTTCGTTCTCACTGAAACACGTCCTTTATATTCTCACTATCCTTATCGAACCTCGTCCAAAGCTTTTGCGCTCACTCAAACCCCTTCCTATACTCCTTGCAACACGTCCCGACTTCTGTAGCACCAGCAACCTCCGCTGTCGCCTGTTGATGGAGCAGGCCATAGCTGAAACGTGCTCTCTCTCTCTGAATGAAGGTGTCGATGTATGGATTCAATTCACATGTTGTGTAGTGTCGCAGTTTTCCAGCTCCGGTTTCATCGTCGCAAGCACCATCATCTAACTACGCCCGAACCTTTCGTTCTCACTCAAATTATACATCCTCTACATTCTATCCTTATCAAGCTACGTCCAAACCTGGTTGGATTAGAAGCACATGTTCTATCGTGCCGTTTTTTTCCAGCTCCGGTTTCATCGTTGCAAGCACGATTATCCTCCGGTTTTCAGATATTCTTATTTTATCCTTACCAACATACGTCCAAACTGTTCGTTCTCACTGAGACACGTTCTTTATTTTCATTATCCTTATCAAACTACTTTGTGCTCACTCAAACCCGTTCCCATACACTCATTGCAACGCGTCCCGACTTCTGTAGCACCAGCAACCTCCGGAGCAGGCGGCCCACTCAGAACATGTTTGTATTTGTACATTGGCTGCAGCAGATTTTGTTCGTGTGCATCGCTCTGTCAGATTGTTCGTTCAGATAATTTCCTTGCATGCCGGTGTGTCACCATGATCTTGTTGTTCTTGTCTGGCTGCTGTCTCCTCTGTGGAGGTGTTGCAGGCTTTGGATTTCTTATCCTTAAACAGAACAGTGTTGTCCACGGGCATTTGGACGTCACCAAGGCCGAGAAGTCTGTCGGTCTGAGTCTGTCTGTCTGTTTGTTTGTATGTCTATCCGTCTGTGTGTTTGTCTGTCTCTGTGTCTGTCTGTCTGCCTGCCTGCCTGCCTGCCTGCCTGCCTGCCTGCCTGCCTGCCTGCCTGTCTGTCTGTCTGTCTGTCTGTCTGTCTGTCTGTCTGCGTCTGTCTGCGTCTG